GGAAAAAAAAAATATTTTCAAATGAATGCAAAAACTTTTTATAGGAAGATGTATAACGATCACATTAAATGGCACTTTTGGAATTAATAATAAAAAAGTATCAATCATGAGCAACACAAGTGAAAGTGGTTGAAAGTGAAATGCAAGGGATGAATTATTCACTTTAGAAACTATAAGGACTGACTTACCCAAGGTATCGTGCTTATTTGGTGAATTTTTGCACTTTTGCTTTCAAACTTTTACTTGTGTTGTATATATTGTATTAATGAAGGTGGAAAGAATCTTCTATCAAAGAATCTATTATTAGATTGTTCATTTATTATAGGGTTAAAATCATAAAACCACCATCTTGTTTCCAAAAACTGTCATATAGTCCTCTCAACTAAAGAAACTATCATACAACTCAATAATCTTTTTTAAAAACTATCACATCACCCCTATTCCATTAATTGGCCGTCTAAGGATAAAAATCATCTCCAGTCGCTTCTCACTGGAACCGGTCCAGTTGTGGGACCCGCGGCTGAGGTGGCAAGGCAGGTAAAAGAGAGAAGCACTGTAGTTTTTCGGATACCTGCTTATACGTTTTTCTTTGCTTATACTCATTCTGTTTCGCTTATACGTTTTCAATATACCTTCCCTTTCTGTATTTTATTTTCAACTCAAAATTCCCCCCAAAACCAAAATTAAGGTTGGAGCCAAAACTGATATGATATATATATATACAGATATATGCCCCTGATATGTGATGTTTCTCTGCTCTGATCTATAAACCGAAAATGAAGATGCGAAGCCTCTGTTCTATAAACCAACACATAAAATCGAAGCCTCTGCTCTGTAAACCAACATATAAAGATGAAGATTTATGAAGAGAAGGTCAAGGATTTAGGCATATAAAGATTTTTGAAGAGAAGGACCCAGTTGAGAGCCTCTATTGGGAAAAATCGCCATACATTCCGGCGACAAGCTGAACTTCTTAATCTACCTTCCAACGAGATGCTGAAGCTGCGATCATCCATTCCGGCAAGAAGGTGAAGGATTCCGGCGACAAGGTGAATGTCCGATCATCCATTCCGGTGATCAGTTGAAGCTGCAACCAACCAGTCCGGCTAGAAGCTCTGATCATTATAAGTATTAGGTTGTTATTTTGAATTTTTTGTAACTTTATTCATAATGATATATGAAATCCGGTGGTGATTATTGGTAATCCAAAAATCTGAAGGCTGGGTTATTAGTCCTGATGAGCATGAATGCTTCTTATTTTTAGGAAACCCGAGAATTGGGAAGCTTGTTGTTGTGCGTATTTAATGTTCCTATTTATCCTTTTTAGCCTTTTTCTCTTTTTCTGAATGAACCCGATTAATCACCACTGAACAAAGAAATTTTTATATTGTATATGCATATACCAGATTTTGATGCTTGTTCTTCTGCTTATTATATGTCCATATTTATCTGTTTTAGCCTTTGTGAAATAACTTTATTTGTGAATGAACTATATTAGTGATCAGTTATAATAGAAGTTTACGATTGTATATGCATATACCATTTTGAAGCTTGTTCTTGTGCCAATGTTATGTCCATATTCATCTGTTTTAGCTTTGTCCAATCCTAAACTTTATTATTTTTCAGTTTGAATAAAATTGTAGAATAGTATTTGTATATCCCAAATATTGAAAGATGTGATGTTGTGTTTATGAAAGTGTTGACATATGTTATAGAAAAGTTGTGTTGTGAAGGTCAACATATGCCACATGTTATAAAACGGTTGCATTAATGGTAATGCATTATAGTAGTGTATGAGTCAATTATATGTGCATATGTTAGGTTTGCCACCAACTGTGTTCATATATAGTGTACAGTTGCCGTATTTGAGATATATTTGATCTGTTAACATATGGCACATGTTAGGAAATAGTAGCATGAATGGTAAAGTATTGTAGTAGTGTTAAAGTAAATTTTATGTGGATATTTTAGGTGAAAGATGTAATGTTGTATTTATAAAACTGTTGACATACGTTATAAAGAAGTTGTGTTGTGAAGGTAAAATTATGTTTACCATAAATTGTTTGCATATCTATGTTAGATATATTTGTTATGGCAACAGACGCCACATGTTATGAAAAAGTTGCATTAATGGTAATTCATTATAGTAGTTTAGAAGTAAATTTTTAATGGATATGTTAGGTCAAATATGTGATGCTATATTTATGAACTTGTTGACATTTGTTATATAGAAGTTGTGGTGAGAAAGTCAAATTATGTTTGACACCAATTGTTTTGATATCTAATGTACAGTTGAACAAAGTTATATGAATTTGATCTGTTAACATATAGCACTTGTTAGAAAATGGTTACATGAATGGTAAAGCATTATAGTAGTGTAGAAGTAAATTTTATGTGAATGTGTTAGCTGAAATATGTGATGTTCTATTTATGAAACTGTTGACATATGTTATAAAAAAAGTTGTGATGTAAAGGTCAAACTATGTTTGCCACTAATTGTTTGCATATCTAATTTAAGCTTGAATTATGTTAGATGTATTTGTTATGGCAACATATGCCATATGTTAGAAAAAAGTTGCATTAATGGTAATCCATTATAGTAGTGTAGAAGTAAATTTTTAATGAATATGTTAGGTCAAATATGTGATGTTGTATCTCTGAACCTGTTGACATATGTTATATAAAAGTTATGGTGAGAAAGTCAAATTATGTTTGACACCATTTGTTTTGACATCTAATGTACAGTTGAAGTTTGTTATATGAATGTAATCTGTTAAAATATGGCACATGTTAGAAAATGGTTGCATGAATGGTAAAGCATTATAGTAGTGTAGAAGTAAATTTTATGTGAATGTGTTAGTTGAAAGATGTGATGTTCTATTTATGAAACTGTTGGCATATGTTATAAAAAAGTTGTGTTATGAAGGTCAAATTATGTTTGCCACCAATTGTTTGCATATCTAATTTAAGCTTGAATTATGTTAGATGTATTTGTTATGGCAATATATGCCACATGTTAAAAAAAAAAAGTTCCATTAATGATAATTCATTATAGTAATGTAGAAGTAAATTTTTAATGGATAGGTTAGGTCAAATATGTGATGTTGTATTTTTGAACCTGTTGACATATGTTATATAAAAGTTGTGGTGAGAAAGTGAAGTTATGTTTGACACCATTTGTTTTGACATGCAATGTACAGTTGAAATTTGTTATATAAATTTGATTTGTTAACATATAGCACATGTTAGAAAATGGTTACATGAATGGTAAAGTATCATAGTAGTGTAGAAGTAAATTTTATGTGAATGTGTTAACTGAAAGATGTGATGTTCTATTTATGAAACTGTTGGCATATGTTATAAAAAAGTTGTGCTGTGAAGGTCAAATTATGTTTGCCACCAATTGTTTGCATATCTAATTTAAGCTTGAATTATGTTAGATGTATTTGTTATGGCAACATATGCTACATATTACAAATTTCTTGGTTGGATGTTAATGCATTATAGTAGTGTACAACTAAATTTTATGTGAATTTGTTATTTTAAATATGTGATGTTGTACTTATGAAACTTGTGACATGTGTTATACAAAGGTTGTGCTGTGAATGTGAAATTATATTTGCAACAAGTTGTTTGCATATCTAGTGTACACTTGAATGGTGTTAGATTTATTTGTTATGGCAACATATGCCAGATGTTAGAAAGTTATTGTCTCAATGTTAATGCATTATACTAGTGTAAAATTAAATTTTCAGTGGATATGTTAGGTGAAAGATGTGATGTTATATTTATGTATTTTACAGCAATGTACAATTGTAATATGTTGCATGTATTTGTTATGGCACATGTTAGAAAATGGATGCATGAATGGCAATGCATGATATTAGTGTAGAAGTAAATTTGATGTGGATATGTTAGGTGAAAGATATGATGTTGTATTTGTGAAACTGTTGACATATGTCATATAAATGTTGTGCTGTTAAGATATACTTACTTTTTGGTCATGTTTTTGTAGGTCTGCTATTATAGTTATGGCTATTGGAGAGGCAATTATTAACATTGAAGAGACAGATAGTGATTCAGTTTGCGAAATTCCTGAAGTAGAATGGATACCCCGCGTTGATATGTAGTTTGATTCCGAAGAAACGGCTTATGATTTTTATAATGAATATGGTGGCAGAGTAGGTTTTAGTATTCGGAGAGAGTACAAAAACAACAGTCGGAAGGATGGAAAACTAACATCTAGAAATTTTTTGTGTTACAAGGAAGGAAAAAGAGGTGAGGACAAGAGGGACAGGAAAACAAAGAATCGAAGGGCTGAAACACGCACTGATTGTCGTGCACGCATGCTTATTGCCTTTAATGTGGAATTTGGTAAGTACATTGTCAAAGATTTTAAAGATACTCACAACCATCCCCTCATCAGTGAGGATTGTGCCCACATGATGCCGTCGCAGCGAAAAATAAAGTCAGTGCAAGCTATTGATGTGGAGTTGGCTGCCAATTGTGGAATACCAGTTCGTAAAGCCTTTGAGTTAAGTTCGAGGAAATCTGGTGGTAAAGAAAGTATTGGCTTCACGAAGGTTGATGTACAAAATTATATTCGGACGAGAAGACAGAACGACCTTGAACTTGGTGATGCGAATTGGCTGATGAATTATTTCCAGACACAGTGTTTGGAAGATCCATTATTTTTCTATGCCGTGCAATTGGACAACAGTGCAATGATAACAAATATATTTTGTGCTGATTCAAAAATGATATCAGATTATGGGCATTTTGGAGATGTGCTGACATTTGATACCACGTACAAAATTGTTCATGGGAATCAGCCTTTTGCAGTTTTTCTCGGTTTGAACCATCACCGGAAGACAGTTGTGTTTGGAGCAGCTTTCATGTATGATGAGACAACCGATTCTTTTGGTTGGTTATTCAATACATTCTTGAATGCCATGTCCCATAAAGCACCAAGGATAATCTTGACCGACTAAGACGCTGCAATGGCAAAGGCATTAGTCCAGGTCATGCCCGATACAAAACACCTTCTATGTACATGGCACCTAATGCAGAATGCCCAAAAGTATCTTGGGAATTTTTTTGTTGGTGGGAAAGGCATAAAAAGTGTGATAACAAAATTAATGTACGAGATTGAGGGTGAGGAAGAATTCTTGCTGGAATGGGCGTGGATGGAAAAGGAATTAGCTGTAGAGAATAACAAGTGGTTGGCCAACTTATTTGGTTTGAAACATGTATGGGCCAGGTCATATGTTAAACATGTGTGGTCAGCTGGTATGCGTACCACACAACTTAGTGAGAGCTTCAATGCTCGCTTAAAACAGTACTTAGCGAGACAATATGCACTGCCAGAGTTTTTCAAGCATTTTAAAACGCTTTTGTTCGACAAGCGATACAAGGAGTATGCAGCTGAGTATGACTTGCTGCATAAGATGCCCAGGCTGAAAGCAAGGTCTCCTATTTTAGATCAAGTCGGATGTCTGTACACTATTAACATCTTTGACCTTTTTCAGGAACGGTTAATAGTAGTTGGCATGAGTGAAAATGTCCGGAAGTGCAACGACCTTGGTAATGGGGTTTTTTCATATGAAGTTGCGGTTTATAATGATAACTTCCATCGGGTCGTCACAAGGACAGATGACGACTTATTATCATGCTCATGTGGAAAATTTGAAATGGAGGGTATCATGTGCAACCACACTCTGAAAGTCCTTAAAGATGTGATGTATGCCAATGAAATACCCAGCCACTATATTTTAAAAAGGTGGACCAGAAATGGCAAGGACGGCAGGGTGGAAGACATACTTGGCAGCGATGTTATTACAGATCCTAGACTGGAAATTATATGACGACACTGGATCCTTTGTCGTTATCGAACTAAAATTTCTGCTATTGCATCAGTGAACGATGAGGGATTCAACAATGTTTTGGTGCAGGTGAAAAGTTTGAAGAAGATTGCTCAAGGAGCACAACCTAATCCCAGGCCTGCATGTAACCAAACCGCACGAGCCAATGCCATGGGAAACAGCTTTACAAATATAGAGCTGAATATTCATGCGCAAACCATAGAAGGATTGACTCCAAAAGGGATTGCCACGAAAAATACATTGAAAGGAAGAAGACGTAGGCTCATACCTGCTTTGGAAAGAGCCACTGCGAAAAAGAGAAAGGCCGTTGTACCAAGTCGCAGTCCTACTACGACAACCCCTATGTATATTTTAAACAATGTGAGTCTTGTTTTGTGTTTTATATATCCCCTACCCGATCTATAGTCTAACGTACCGATGAAGTGATGATTTTTGGTGAAGGGTGCTAAAATACCAGTAGAGTTTTTTTGCTCCGATGAATGTTATATGCTAACATGTTCAACACAGGGCCACGATTGGGATAACAATCCGGCTACTTATTTTGGTCAGCCCATGACTCCATTAAATAAGCAGGTATGTGATGTCATCTAAATTAATTAAACTCATGAAATTATTTAAGAAATTTAACGACCTATTTTTGCATGCATGTGATATAAAAAGGGAGTTGATGTAGATGTTGTATGTGACACAAATTTCTCGCCAATGATCCAAATGCCAAACATGAATTCTACATTTGAGCAATAAGGGTTCGAGGAATTACCATGATATGGTAGCAGGGTACAATAAGTGTACTTCATCGTGATTTCTTCGTTATTGCCATGGTTGCACTTCCTTTATTTTGCTGAGTGGTCAAAATATTGTTAAGGTGTCACTATACATGATATCTTCTACTCTAGTATATTTGTTATGTTAAAAATATTGTATTTAAGTCAGAACTGCACTTCCCTTTTTATATTGAACACTTTATATTTGACCATTTATTCCTTGCCTTCATTACAATTGAATGGTTTGTTTAGAACATTTAAGACCCTACTTATTATTTTCAACCTACACGATACCTCAGATCTATATTTAGGGCATCTGTATCTCTATAGCAGTCGTCCCATCCCATTTTTAAATTGACAACCCTTCAAAGTATAAGCAATGGCTGGCCGTCAGTTTTACCTTGTAGTGAAGGGCCGGAATGTTGGTATATACACGAAGTTGGCGGAAGCAAAGGCATAGACACGAGGGTATGTTGATGCAAGGTATTATCCATACAAAACTCATGCACAAGTTGTTCAAGCCCTGGGTAGATGGAATGCCCACTTCCTTGGTGAACTGTTAAACATGGATATTGGTATGGTAAAAGACGATATTGAAGTTGTGGAAGGCGGTCCACCTCCACATCTGCCTGATCCAGACGGTGAGCGACAACATCGTATTAGGTATAATGAGTTAACAAATGCTAGGGGTGTAATTGTGGCAGAGTGCAGAAGACAAGGTCTGTCAATTCCAAAACCCTGTTCACTTGAAATGAAGCTCTCAGGTACATCAAATATGGATTCCGTGATTGGTCAAATCAAACGTGAGATTCGGCAACTATATGTGAGATGACGTAAGTTCCAGAAAGTGAAACATGCTAAAGAAACATACGAAGATCCAGCAGAACAGTTGGCCGCCATCTTCAATGACCCAGACCTAAAATCAGATTCAGAAATGTCCGATTTTTCAGACCCAGCAGATGATGACTTTGTAATTCCACCTCCAAGACATGGTAGAAAGAAATAACGTGAGTGGATGTAACAAATATAATTTGTGGAGTTGTACCTTTATTGTAATAGTTATTATCCAATTAAATTAGTAGGAAAAACATCCAAACGATTTCATATGTTTTATCATAATTAATTTATATGTACTGTAGGAATGATTTCGTAACAGAAGTCAAAAAAAAAATGAACTTGAAAAGATAATTTTATTTCATAATGTACACGTGTACAGTTGGACAACATAAATGAACTTTAAAAAAACATATTAATGATTGAGACGTGGGAACTTCCATCCTACCCTTCTAATGTAAGTGGATGTAACAAATGTTATTTATGGAGTTATACCTTTATTGTAATACTTATATTCTAATTAAATTACTGGGAATAACAAACAAAATGATTTCATATGTGTTGTCATAGTTAATTTAAATGTAATGTAGGAATTATTTCGTAACAGAAGTCAAAAAAAAAATTACTGTTCAGATAAAAATTTATTTTATAATGTACACGTGTACACCTGGACAACATAAATGAACTTTAAAAAAAGGTTTAAATGATCCAGACGTGGGAACTTCCACCTTACCCTTCTAACCGTTGTTATATTGAACGTTTTGACTATTTAACTGCCCTAGGCAAAGTATAAACGGTTAATTCATGTGTCTATTTATATCGTCATATCTAGTCGGTGCATGTATTCAAAAGCCATGGATTCTGTTCTACAGACTGCGATTGAAGATGTGGTTAGACGAGTTGAGGCTATAACTTTTACAAATAGTGTGGAGAAGCATGCATGATGAGTTATGTTTATACTTTTTACAATTTGCATGCATTATCGGGTTATGGGTCTTCATTACTGAAGTGAGGAATATGGGTGTTGTTCGTATTTAAAATACAAGGAAACGACAGAACTGGACACTTGACCATGGACGACGGGTCTACGGCGATACACTTCAACAATTGATTTACTTGCACGTAATGGACTAGATGAAAGTATCCCAGCAAGACGTATGTACCTAGAACAATGTTTTCAATCTAGGGATCATGTTGCAAAGTTCATTAGGGGAGTGGTATGTTTAGAAAGATCATGTGTACTTTTTTACGTATTACACTTTATTTATTTTTAAGGTCTAACATGCAAAAAAATTTGCACAGGTTGATTATATTGTTTATAATGAAAAAATAGGGTTATCTTTCCTCTGTAAAAATGGTTACCCGTCCCTCTATCCTATGTGTATTGCATTATTGTTTTCCAGTGAAGCGGACAAAGAGGCGGGGATTAATTTGTTAACGTTGTTGAGGACAAATTCAATACTGAGCCCTTCTATCAAGTCTGCCCGTAAAAAGATGTTAACAATTATCCAGAGGAGTTTTGTTTGCAATCGGTCATTCTTTACGCATATTCTAAAATGTTGTCCCGAAGGCAACCATATTGATTAGCATTGTTGGATCATAAACGAGGATGTCATCAATTGTAATCATTGTTAGTGTGATTTAAATATCATGGTTTTGCAAGGTCGTCTTTCGCAACATCACATAGAAGGATTATTTGGGTAGTTCTGCATTTTTATTGGGTTTATATGTGGACTTTCGGCACATCACAATGGACTTTATTCATTAATATTTGTAATTCTTATTTAATTTGTGTATGAATATTTGTGTATGGATATTTAGGTAGTTTTTATTAATTTTGTTTTTTTTTTTTTTTTTTTAAATATATTTGGGTAGTACTGTTTTCATTCTATAAATTTTAATTTTTTACTTATGTGAATTGTTCACATCTTTCCTTTTTTTTAGCGGTCCCATTACCCCTTAAGGTATGAATTCACACTAACTTTTTATAAATATATTCTTTATATATATATACATATACATATATGCTTTAAATGTAAATTTTTCCTTACAGAGGATCCATTCCCACATCACATAACATATGTCACAACTTTATTTATATTTTAAACATGTGTCACAACTACATAACATAACATAACATGTGTCAAAAGCAGGTAGCTAATGGATAACCTATTTCCTCTATTTCAAAGAAAACAATCTGCGTTCTACAGGAATATTTCAATTGAAACATCGTCGCTATATCTGAATTGCTGCGAAACACCATTCTGTCGAGTGTGTCAGGGATAGAAGCATATACGTTCATGGCAAAAGAATGTGGAAGTCCACACAAATCTTCTAAAAATTTCAGTATGCCGACCATAGTGAACAATAATTGAAACCATGCCGCGAATGCCGTCTGAAAAGAAAGTACACAAAACTGACTAGTTCAGTGCTCAGATTGACAAGTATAAATTATATATACACAGTTAAGATAAAAAAAAAAAAAAAGTATAGTTAAGATAGGAAAACTCACCAACTTCTCGGGTTACAATTTGATACCTTGGAATATTTCTCGGGTTACAAGAAGCTGCCTTGGATATATTCAGTAAACTGAATAGTAATTAGTAGTTGGCCATTATTAACTTCTCATTTATGGCCAACAACTTCATTAAGTATACTTGTTTTACACAAATATCTTAGTTATTAATGTAATGCAATTGCATCTCTTTTTGGCCGAACTAGTAATTGAATGCAGCATTTCTCTGTTTTGACGAACAAGTAATTGATTGCAAGTGCATCTCTCCTTCTGCCACATACACCTCTCTGACGTATCTCTAAATGCATTTATGTATGGTCAGATATGGTAGTTACATTTCCACCCTATAAAACCTAACTATCCACACTTTGTCTAACCACAGGCACAACCAAGATAGAAAGGAAACCTAACCCATCTCCTCCACCACCAGTCCCCCATCCTCAAACAAGCACATATGAGACTGATGAGTTAAATATGAACCATCCTAACTTTCTGAATACCGTGATGGGTAAGCTGACCCGTGTCATCAAGAAAATACAGAGGATGGAGAAAGAACTACGCTGGGTGGAATGTCGCTTAGCATAGCTGGAAACCGAGCGCAACTATGGCGAATGAAGGTCAGAACCCAGATGATGCGTAAAAGGGAACCAACAGTTCAAGTCTTTTGTTATGTCATATATAGATCCATGTATTTGCAAGCCTTTTGTAGTTCCTATAAGGAACTTACTTTATGCGTACTGCATGAAATATGAAATGTGAAATATGTACTTTTTGTATTACATATTGTTTTATGTATTACATATAGGTATCTGTTACAAGTAACTAAGATTAAAAAAAACATCATACTATTTTACTAACTAACATCACAAATATATTTCATATAATGTAGGAACAAATTAATAACAAAAGATTTATATTACATTTTTACACTATTTTTTATTTCAATAAAGATAATGATTTATAATATTATTTAGTTTGAACTTGGGATTATGAAATATAGTGATATTTTTTATTTTGACAAAAAAAATTAACGTACATAATAAGATAAAAATAATTTAGAATACGGATTCGGGTTGCTACCACTTAAATCCAAATCTAACACCAATTATATATGGGTTCATATTTTTCAACACAAACCCAACCGTAATTGTGAAATATTAGGCTATTTTGGAAATTTTTTACTTTATCTATTAAGGAAATTTTAACTTCATCTATTAAGGAAATTTAAGGAATTGGGAGAGTAAAAGAGAAAATATAAATAAAATTTTAGGAACTACAAAATTGAGGGGGGCACTATAAAATTGTTTTCATATATATAGATAAAATATATAAATTTACCAATTATATTATAGCCAAACATAGCTTAGCCACCTAAATAAATATTCGTATTTATAAAACAATATAATTATAATATTGTATTTATGAATAATAGTATAATTTTCAGCTTTAAAATTCTTGACCGTTGAAATACAACCGTTAAGTCTGAAGGCCAGGAGTCGTTACAACATTGACAGAGCATATTTATATATATATACACACACACAGAGACACACATGCACACAAATACACACACTTATTTCCCAACTCCTATCCTGATATTTTTTCTGTTGGGTGGTATCCTTGTGACATAGGTCTTCAATGGCTGAATCCAGCAACAGTAAAATACGTCATAGGGGTGAAGTGGCTCACCTAAAATGTTTCTGTGGAGAATTGAGTCTCTTGTATGTTTCGCACACAAAAGAAAATCCAGGGAGGCGATTCTTCAATTGTGCAGCAAGACGTTGTTTTTTTTTTTGTGTGGGTGGATTCACCAGCACCTGTTCAAAACCCAGTTGGTCGTGCAACTACTACTGCTCCTACTCTAGACACCGATCATCTTAATCTATATTTGTCAATTGCAAAACCTTTCTTTATCTTCTTTGTTGCAGCAATGGTCTTCCTTGGATTGGCGGTTTTTTACTTATCCTCACCTTGCTGTATAAATGAAATCTGATTTGGACTACTACTTTTGTACTGGGGTGGTATGTTATGTAATTGCATTAATGAAATCTCAAATCGCATTACATTGGCAGTTATCTTTCTGCGTGTTTTCTTCTTATTTACATCATACTATATTAGTAACTAATATCACAAATATTTTTCATCTATTATATGAACATATTTATAACCAAACATTTATATATATAATATTATAACATAACAGTCATATAAATAATTCAATGCATTAATCCGATTAATTTAATTTTTATACAAACAAATGTTTTATAATGTCACTATATGTCAACTTTTACTTGGATATACCACCACAAATACGTTTTTATCTGATTTGGCATACATTATACTGTATTAGTAACTAGTATCACAAATATTTTTCATCTATTGTATGAACATATTTATAACCGAACATTTATATATATAATATTATAACAGAACAGTCATATAAATAATTGAATGCATTAATCTGCTATTACTTGGATATACCACCACAAACACGTTTTTATCTGATTTGGCATACATCAGACTGTATTAGTAACTAGTATCATAAATATTTTTCATCTATTGTATGAACATATTTATAACCGAATATTTATATATATAATATTATAACAGAACAGTCATATAAATAATTTAATGCATTAATCTGATTAATTTAATTGTTACACAAACAAATGTTTTATAATGTCACTATATGTCAACTGTTACTTGGATATACCACCACAAATACGTCTTTATCTGATTTAGCATACATCATACTGTATTAGTAACTAGTATCACAAATATTTTTCATCTATTGTATGAACATATTTATAACCGAATATTTATATATATAATAGTATAACAGAACAGTCATATAAATAATTCAATGCATTAATCTGATTAATTTAATTGTCATACAAACAAATGTTTTATAATGTCACTATATGTCTACTGTTACTTGGATATACCACCACAAACACGTTTTTATCTGATTTGGCATACATCATACTGTATTAGTAACTAATATTTTTCATCCACTGTATGAACATATTTATAACAGAACATTTATATATATAATATTATAACATAACAGTCATATAAATAATTCACTACATTTATCTAATTAATTTAATTGTCATACAAACAAATGTTTTATAATCTCACTATATGTCAACTGTTACTTGGATATATCATCACAAACACGTTTTTATCTGATTTGGCATACATCATACTATATTACTAACTCAAACCACAACTGTTTTATCTATTGTATGAACACATGTATAACGTAACATTTATGTAAATAATATTATACATTTTCGCCTACATCATAGGGTTTTATAAATCAACATCACAAATACATTTCATGTCGTGTAGAAACATATTTATAACAAAACAGTCATATAAATATCATATAAATAATTCACTGCATTTATTTGATTAATTTAATTGTCATACAAACAAATGTTTTATAATATCACTATATGTCAACTATAACATCACAAATATTTTTCATGTACTGTACGAACACATTTATAACATAAAATTTCTATCAATAAATGGACAGACGTTCTATTTATCACATGTTTTTACCAACTAACATCACAAATACTAATCAATGGTAACAACCAAATTCTGATTAATGTTATACAGCCATCAATGGTAACATATGAACAAATATTGGTTTTTTTGTTTTACATTCATTCATGGAAGAGATGCGGCCAGCGAGTACAAATCACATCTTTTTTCATTCCTATCGTTATCAATCAATTGCAGTAGCGTCTCAGAACACATTGCTTTTGTGTCTTCCTGCAACATTATCAATATTGTATGAATAAATGTAAGTATCAATTAAATTTACTTTAAATATACTTGCACGTAAAACTTATCAACATATTTACTTACATGTTCAAATTCACGGGAAAAACATTCCCCATTCCACGTCTCCATAAACCTCATCACATAAAACCCACATGATTCGCTGAAACAAAAATAAAAAAACAAGTCAAACCGATCAACTGTATTACAATTGGTTTACAACTAACCCGCCAAAACCGTATAACCTCACATTTACATGAAACACACATTCAATTATGCATACCTGTCAGGTTGCTGGGATATTTTCTTTGGTATGTATGTACGATATTTTGTCAAATCTTCACCAACCACAATTCCAGCAAACTCTTTCTATTGATCAAAGCAAGTTTTTTTTAAATATATTGCCACTAAAATTTTTTTATATCAACTGAAACTGTATATACGTACCAACAAATTAACATATGCTTTGCATGTATGGGTTCTTCCCTTTGAACAAATATAATCCACCCTTCGTTTGCGAAGATTTACCACAAACAATAACCAATGCCCATCTATGCATGACGGGAATAATAACTACACCAAGATCAGTATAAAGTTAATCATACAAAAACCAAGGTTTAAAATTTTATATCCAATAAATAAAAGACATACTCACCAACTGCGCTTGCATGTGACGTGAAAGAAAAGTCATCTCAGAATCCTTAATGTATTTTGACCAGACTTGCGGTAGGACAGGCCAGCGTCCAACTTTAGTCTTTATCTTCATCACATTGAAATTAATTATGAACTGTACCGCTCTATTACTAAAGCAATACTTCTCCCCAGCAGGTCCTTCCTCCATGTTTAGTATATTCCCAAATAAATTAATCATCTTTAAATAAATACATTTAATTTAGAAAAATTCAATTTGTATACCATCAACAACCACAACTATACAATAGTAATGTGCGAAATTCATTCAACTCACATCATCCGACAATTACCTACCAGGGAATACACTTTGAATCTGCTGTCGACTTATAATGCGACCAAACATGGAAACGATTATTTCACTGAAGAGATAATTCACAACAATGCTTGTAAATTAAGTATCATACTCACACATTACATATAAAAAAATGCAATAATTATTTAAACGCAAACATATGTAACGCAGAAGATGAAAAGTGTGCATTAAAAACTTACAAATTATCTCCATCAAACTTTCCCACATATGTCAACAACATTTTCTGCTCCTTGGTGAGATGAACCATTTTATTATTTTTCTTTACATAGTCAGCGTAAGCATATCCGCAACACTTCATTTCCCTCTTCCCCCTTACAACTTTTACAAGTCCTTCATTCTCTTTTTAACTCACTGTCTCGACAACTGGCTGCAACAGCAGCATTCAACTCATTATTTTCCTCAGTACTTAGCAAAAGACTGTGAGTTGGAGTAGAACAGGTCTTATTCTTTTCACCCTGCTCCTACTCATCATCATCATTACACTCTTCCTCACTTCTTTAATCAGTTTCTTCATTTTCGCTTCTTTCATTGCCATTGCCAGACTCTCCATCATTTTCTTCATCCTCACCTTCCTCATTTTCTTCATTGCCATCCGCAGAGTCTCCATCACTTTCTTCATCCTCACCTTCCTCATTGGCCTCATTGCCAACTGTAGAGTCTCCATCACTTTCTTCATCCTCAACTTCTTCATCCTCACTTTCTTTATCCTCAACTTCTTCATCCTGAACTTTTTCATCCCCACCTGATTCCTCAACATGGTCAACATCATCATCATTACCATCTACATCACTTCGTTGCCCACCCAACCCATCATTCTTCTCTTTGTTCTCCCTTGACAGCCTTATTTTTTTTCGCATGTCCCGCTTCTTGAAGGCAGATAACATTTTTGTTAGGCTTCTTTAGGATTTTAATACATTGAATTCAGCCATTTGTATGTCCATTTGCACTTTAGTTATGCAAGTCTGCGAAAATTAAGGACAATTAGTTCACATAACTTTTGCAAACATATCTGTAAATAGAGATAATGTATTTTACAACACAATTACCTCCACATCCGAGTCAGAAAAATGATAATCAACAAAATCAATGTTTAAAGAAGGGCCAAAACCATCTTCGGCTGGCATATCATTACCACTGCTGCTGCTACTACAAGTCTTCGGCTTCAAAGGGATCAACTATTTCCATTCCATATTTAGATAACACTACTTTATCATCAAATTATAATATATATATATATATATATATATATATATATATATATATATAACTATTTTCAACAATACAAAATACTATTCGTAAATAGACCTGTCCATACATGACAAAAATAATTACCTATCCATGTCCAAAATCTCCATTACCCATCTCTATCTGATTCGTGATTGTACAACCTCTGATGTCCAAAAACTTAAGCTTTTAATATCTCCCTCAGGATAAGCTCGGTATTGCGTATCACAACGCGTTAGATAAAGCAGCTGATTTAAAAGACCAATAATTAAAGTAATTATTTCTTCTGTTTCATAAAATTAACATGTAATTCACACACATTTTAAAGGCAAATGTATAAAAATCATACCCAAGGATACCTGCAAAAAAATCATACAACCACCGTATGACTTCTTCAGCTTCCCGTCTCCAGATGGTTCCAGGGTTCTCACCAAACAATCACGAACATATCCGCACCAGTTGTAACTGCTAATTACATTCACATCATCCACAGTTTTCAACAAGCCCCAATGACAATTATTATGACCGGTGGGACTAAGTACAGTACTGCAAGCAAAGAGCACAAACGCTCACTTGAATTCATCCATTTCCTTTACCGTTAAAACATGCTCTAATAATACATCTTAGTGCATTCGACCAGCTTCCTTATAACCACCTTTATCTATCCACTTAGAATCAAGATACTGATTAGTTTTCGGCACTTTTGGAACACCAAATGGTATGCCAAGGATCGAGTAGATATCGGCTGAATGGATGGGTATATAACCTATATCCTTAACTTTTATACAACATTTTTCAGAGTCAATTTTTTTTATTAAATACATACATAACTCCCGGGACAAAAAAGAACATTTAAGTTCTAGCAATTTTCCAAATCCAAGCTCCTTAATAGCCTTTATCTTTTCCTCATTAAGCTGTGACACTGCTTTGCGGAACTTGGAAAGAGAGCATCTGTGCCAGGCACCTTGGGTCCAATTGATCTTTTCCTTTTTCTTATGCTTCAAAGGCATAAGATTATAACACATCATGCATACATTCTCGGTTTCGTTATCAAATAAAATATTTACATTAAAATTTAATCACCCTTTCTTTTTTGGGGCCTTTCTTTCTTCAGGAAGCTTGTCGTATTCTTCCTTTCATCTTGTACAATCCCTGATCCATGGCTCTTTATTAGCCGCAGACTTTGCATTCCATGTCTGTCTAGCAGATTTGTGCACCGCAAGCATCACTGCCTTCGGTAACCTGTCATGTTTTGAGTGCTCTTGCCGGTACTTCCTAATGCACTCGGCCCTTCATGTATGCATTGCATATTATCACAACTTATTTTTACATGTATCATGTATTAATTCCATATTGCATCAACATATTTTACTAACACGTTAAAACAATTAACTACCCCAACTCAGTTTCACAATTCATAAATTAATAATAAGAACCACAAATACTTTCAACATATATGTGCAAAGATTTGCATATTTTATCACCTACTATTTGTAACGCAATACAATAAAAAAGTTGGACAGATCAATTTATTATGCTCACAACTTATCTAAACATGTATCATGTATGCATTTAACTTTTTATTTTTATTAAATCAACATATTGACCTAACAACTTAAAAAAATTAACTTCCACAACTCAATCTCACAATTCCTAAATTAATAATCACAACCACAAACACTTTCACTATATGTAGGAAGATTTCATATTCAGAAACAACAAATTATTATTATCACAACTTCTTAACAAATGTATCATATATCAATTGCATATACCGTCATAATATTTGGCTAACACGTTTAATAAATTAACTTCAAAAGCTCATTTTCACCATTCCCAACCATAAAATCTGAAATAAATTTCTAAACCCTTAAACAAACAAACTGATACATAATCAATGTTCACCTATACATTAAGAACACTATGGGAGGCCGGTTCACCAAATCCTACTCCCCACCGGAAATACCAACACTGCTTCGTCCTTCACCTGAGGTTTGTCCTTCATGTGAGACGTTTTCTGTTCTAGCGTCATTCGTAGAAATTGACTTCTTCTTCTTAGATACCTGGAACGTACCTTTATTGGCTTTCTTCCTCGCTATAGATTTTAACCTAGCCATTAAATTTTGAAATTTTCGACTTCAGACGAAGACGAAGACGAGACTACAGGAGTTGGAATGAAGAAGAACAGTGGAATTCGGCTTCACAGGACGCGAGGAAGACGACGAGCAGAGGAGAGAGATTAGGGTTCTGTAATTTTACCCCCAAAGGTAAAGTTGAACATAGTTTTTAACATAAAAAGGTTAAATGTAATTGTAAATTATGTATTCTGATTTTGTATAATGTATAAGTGTATGGTGTATTAGTATAAGTGTATGGGGTATTCGTACATGTGGTAAATGAAAATAGTATATTAGTAATTTTTTTGGATAAATGCTGACTGAGTGATGATTGGGTGCTGACTGGATGGTGACGTGACAAATAGGCTGAGGTGGTTTCACCTTAGCCATTGAATGTGCACTGGATCTGCTCCAGTGAGAGATGCACTGGAGCAGATTTGGATCCGCCGTCTAAAACTAATAGTAAAAGTACGTGATAGTCACATGCTTATTATTCTACTTAAATATGACTATATAACCCTTTTAATCACCTAAAGATCATACTGCCCTTTTAATCACTTTCAGCTTGCACGTGCCTCAAACTGAAGAAAATCGGTGGGAAGAACTCAAATATGCTCTAAAGCTCACTGTAGTTGGTTGGGTTTCTTAATGAAGTCTGCCTGACCCGTACATTAGAAGCTCACTGGTTGGAGTAGCTTCGTGCTCATCATCGGTTGGTCACTAAAAACTTCTACGTTGAGTCGCTGAAACTCTACCGAATTAAATGGACCTTCAATCAAGTAATAACGAAGACTTCAACGCTGGTTAATCCTTAGTCGATCAATGTTTCAGTCACATGGATTATGCAGTTCTTGACGCTCTCTTGTTCAGGTTCCGTTGCCAGTGGAGAATACATGATGGACGAGGATTATTTTGTCTGGTGTCGCACGCAGATGGTGGGTCCACCAGAACTATTATCATTGGAGCTGTATAGACTCCAGTTGAAACTTCGGTTTGCTTGTTGTTGCTGAAATTTTTGGTCTTAACTTAACCGGACCTAAAAACATGCATGAAAGATACTTGGAGCTCATTTCGGTGTTCATCGATGTAAAACTCTGATCTCTCACTAGTTTTCATGAAGGTCGAAGCAAAGAGCTCTCGCTGTGTTCATTGGGTCTCGCTGGTTTTGTCACCATCACCAAGTTGTATGCAGATCGTAGGCTTTCTATTTGTTCACCATAATCAAGAACACATATTGGAGCTTCATTGAAACTGAATGGGTTTTTGCAACTCGGGTATGTCACTGATGCTCAATTCATATCACCGGCATTCATAGTGTTTGCAGGGACCGATAGACGACTATAACTTGATGTCTGTTCATAGAAAATAGTGCATGCAGTTGGGAATCTGTTTGTTCGGTCGTTGTTCCAAAGCTCACCGGATTTTGGTTGCTGCACTTGGGTCTTATATGCTCAGAGTTTCTCGTCAGACTTAGTTGTTGTATGATGAACCAAGAGGGGGTGAATTGGTTCTCTTGCTTAACTTCTTTCCACACTAAGAGTGTTTTCAATACACACACAATGTTCAAACATTCAACCACAAGTACACTAAATTTTACAAGGAAATTCTCTTTCAATTAGAGATAAAGAACCTTGGTTCTTGGCCATAACTAATGTAATTTCCACTAGTTGTATGCAAGTAGTTATACACTCAATTGTCTTGCTCTCTGCACACACCCTTGTACGAGATGAAACACTAATTTTCACAATCTCTACACACACATTAGCTCCACTTGGTGCTCAACGGCACTCCCCCTGTCCTAAGCACCCTGCTTAGACATTTTGAGCTCTCATAGCTCACCAAAGACATGAAACATGAAAATAATAACTTTACTTTAGCTTATATGTGATACCCCTTCGTTCCAAAGCCATGAATTGATTAAGACCAAGCCCAAAAGTAAGGGATATCAAACAATTAAAGTAATAATTGAACACAGAATACAAAAGACAATAAGAATAAATAAATAAGCTGAAAAGAAAAACTAAATAGTAACTCCTCCAATAATAATTCAATAAAATAAATCCTCCATTAAATAATCAAAATCCTTTGATACCAGTAACCATTTAGATTACAACTTGGGAATCTATCATGTGGACCCCTAGTAAAATCCAAACTAAAATAAAACAAAATCCAAAGACTGAAACATAAAGAAGAATCCTATGTAGAATCGGAAAAGTGAGGTAAACTGTCTCTTCTCAGGACGAACTATCTCTAAGTCTGGAACTGACGAACACATGAAAAATAACAATGGGTCAGGCTCATGAACAAGTTCTATTTTATTACATCTCATACAGAGACCTGATACACATATACATCCTAGTCAACTCAACAATAACTATATAGTCCATATATATATATGGATATACACTAAAAGACTCTCACTGGACTATAGGGTGGCCTCAACCTGAATAGTAGGTAACATGCAAAATGCACATATAGTGGGCATGAGTATCATGATCTACCAGGGCACACAACTATCCACTTTATCTAGCTATTCATCCTAA